TGGCGAGTTAACACAACGGGTAAATGATATATTACAAAACCTGTGTATATCCTCTTCTCAGCTGCTGTTTTTTTCACGTATTTGGTGTTGTTGGATATGGTGGCGTCTCCAGTGACCACGTAGTCATAGATACACTCCAAGTCGTCGCGTCCACAAGCAATCTCGGCCTCGTGTGTTGTATTCATTGTGTCAAGGAACAGGGGAAGAAATTCCGGATGCTGATAGAAGGAAGAGGCCCGCCCTGGGTTGTACTTGAACACATTTGTCCTGTTGATACTCGGCAGAACTGTGCGCCCTGAAGAAGAGCTTGAATTTGTAGTATAGGGCCTGTAAGGCGCCTCTTCCGGTCTTAAGCTGGTACCAGCTTTCTGGTGACAAGCTGTATGCAAGAACCAGTTCTGGTTCCAAATTGCGCCACCGACAAATATGACTTTACTAGACCGGACCAAGTGTACAACAATGCTTGGCTGTCACAACTGTTGACAGTCGTAATAGTTGGCTAATATGGGACACGGTTAAATATTATTCCATGAGACAACCATGAGACCATTCGAAAAGGTCTGAAACGTTGTTTGTCACCGGAAGTACTAAACAACGTAGGCGTCGCGAAGTGCCGTGACCTACTTACGGGCCCCATTTAGTTCGTATGAGAAAGGCTCTAAATGTCGTGAACATTTACCGTTTTTGTAAAACCCCGTAGTTTAAATATATCTTTCTGTGTGGTTGTAGAGTATGTCTGTGTGATTGTAGAGTGAGACTGTGATTGTTTAGGGTTATTGTGTGATTGTACAGTGTGACTGCCTGATTGTAAAGTGTGACTGCCTGATTGAGTTGAGTTGAGTTGAGTATAGTGACGAGATCAAGTCTGAATTCATATGATTGTGTAGTGTGACTGTGTATTGTATAGTGTGACTGTGTGGTTGTATGTGGTGACTGTGACTGTACAGGATGACAGTGTGATTGTAATTGTGTCTTCAATAATTATCAGATGATATATTCCTGCGTGACACAGGTGCATACAGTGCACATACACTTTGCATTAACTTCAAAACCTGTTTGGGCCAATACGTTCGTTGCTGCTTAACCAAACCTTAACATTCAAGAAAAGATAATGGCATGTAGAAAGTCAGTAGAACGATAATAATGCTCGAACACTGCTAATTGGCCTTTGTTGTAAGCGACTCGAATGTGTATACACCGAAAGTAATATTTAGCCTCATAATCTATCGCTTAGAGCATGCACATTAAGGGTAGATAATTCTTGTACTAGATCCAATACAGCTAACTATGGGTGAGATTTAAAGGCTTTCTGAAAAAAAACCAATCAGAAACATTTGTCACCGTAAGTAATATATTCACTTACATTTTTCTCCAAACTTATGAAATATGGCTTCATCGTGCATCGTATGGCTCAGAGTAGTGCCATTTGGTAGAGTAAAGTCATCGGTCAAGTCGCCATTGAAATTTCCCAGCAGTCCACTGATCGTAAAATCCGAGTTATTCCGCCAATCAGAGGGCACGGTGAGGGCAACGTCTAGCATCTGTACGTTGTGAGTGATGTTGACACTTACACCTGGAACAAGCAGATGTCAGTTAGCCATTGTGTTTCTTTCAGTCTTCCAGTCCAGTGGTTCACCCATTGACTACATCTGACCAGCCACAGTGATAGCATTACCTTCCTGCAGAACACACTCTAGCTTCGCACGTCGACAAACAGGAGATACCCCGATACAATTATCTCTCTTGAGATCATCACTTGACCTAGTGAATCTACCATTTCTTACAACTGATATTGAATAGTTTCATCATTTAGAGAAAATGTGTTTTTAAATCCAGAAATTAGTGGCACATAGCGGTGCAGTTAGAGAAACCTTGGCTACAAAGTAAACGGGACATAAACGGTTCGTATGCTATACCTATTAAGTCCTTATACCAGTTACTTACACTGCTCTGGAATGATGAATCATGTAAACGCACCACATACTAGTATAAAAACTATGACTAACGAACACCTTATCCAACTTCTACCCTACTAGATAGTATACTCTACTAGATAGTATTCTCTACTGGATAGTATATATATACTCTGATTAGTTGATGCTCATTACATTGGCGTTGAAGGAGAATTTACTAAATTAAAATGAAATTATAGAAATATTTATCATGTGATTGTTGTCACTTTAATAGCATATATTAAACAAGAGTGATCCTGGGACAGTAAGGCAGGTTAAGTTCATCATCAGCGCAGGGTCTTTTCCCCTCCCAAACAACACGACCCTTGAAGATCAGGGTTAGAATTGATCTTCAGTAACCCATGCTTGTACTAAGAGGCGACTAATGGGATCGGGTGGTCAGGCTCGCTGACTCGGTTGACACATGTCATCCCATCCCATTGCGTAGATCGATGCTCATGCTGTTGATCACTGGATTGTCTGGTCCAGACTCGATTATATACAGACTGGAATATTGCTGAGTGCGGCGTTAAACAACAAACAAAGCAAACAACCCTAACGACGCAGCCCAGACAACGAACGTGACTTCTCTGCAGCCTTCTGCATTAGCAAGAGTGTCAGAAGGGTCGTGTTCCTGCAGCACACCAAGAACCAGTCTCGCTACTGGGAGGTACCAAACATGAGGCACCGAGAGGAATGGGAAGTATTACTTCGTACTTTAGACATTTTGTAGTCGAGGTCCACACATTGTCACGTTTTTCTAAATTTTGCCAGTCACATCGGTGTCAAAAGGGACTAAACATTCGATTATATGAATTGTTTCACTAAATTTATCAAAAGGACAAAGTCAAGTTGGTTGGCTTGGATACTTCTGAGTCTGTATTCCAGCGCATTCAGACAATGTCAATGAATCAAGAATGATATCGCTGTTTCACCTAATATAGAGGTCTATTCATAAACGCTACTAAACAGGAAAACTTGTAAGTGACTCATTTAAGAGTTGTTTACTTCATAATTACCTGAAGGTAACGTGGCGATGATGACGAGACCATCTGTCCAAATGGATGAGGAGTTTGTTATACTCATGAAATTTCCTTTAATGTCAGCGCTGATATCATTACCATTGTTGTAAAAAAGCAGATCTGAAAGTGAAGTGATACAGAAGAATAAACAAATGTGTGACTGAGTGAGTATGGTTTTACGCCGCCTTTAGCAATATTCCAGCAATATCAGATACCAGAAATGCTTCACACATTGTACCCATGTGAGGAATCGACCCCGGGTCGTCGGTGCTACGAGCGAATGCTTTAACCACTAGGCTACCCCACCGCCCTTGGATAAACTAATGACTACTGAGGATATTAAGCACATAAGGTCACTGTTTAACCTTATGAAAAGCCTGTAGAGAGTCAAACGTGATAAATAATTGGGTGAAAATATTTGAGTGGAATTTGTAGTGTACTGCTACCTTTCTTGTCCTGAGAAAGCTCGGCTTGAATAGAAGATCCTGCCAAGTAGTCCTGCACGACGACTGCGGTGAATATTGTGGCGTTGTTGTTGGTGGAGGTGGACACAGATGCAGTCCGGGCCTGGATCTCGAACACGAGGTGCTTGTGCTGATCCTCTACTTGGAAGAGAACGTACTCGCCCAATCCATTGAATGTGTAGTTCAATCCGTCCATGGTCTGCAGGTGGGGGTCGCCGTAGTACGTGGCTGTAACACGGTGGTAGTGGATAGACGAGGTTGGGTACAGAAGGTGGTCGAGTGTGTGTGAAGTGATTACTTGGATAGACGAGAATGGGTACGGTTGGTGGTCGAGTGTTTTTGAAGTGAGTACTTGGATAGACGAGAATGGGTACGGTTGGTGGTCGAGTGTTTTTGAAGTGAGTACTTGGATAGACGAGAATGGGTACGGTTGGCGGTCGAGTGTTTTTGAAGTGAGTACGTGGATAGACGAGAATGGGTACGGTTGGTGGTCGAGTGTTTTTGAAGTGAGTACTTGGATAGACGAGAATGGGTACGGTTGGTGGTCGAGTGTGTGTGAAGTGAGTACTTGGATAGACGAGGTGGGTACGGTTGGTGGTCGAGTGTGTGTGAAGTGAGGACTTGGATAGACGAGGTTGGGTACGGTTGGTGGTCGAGTGTGTGTGAAGTGAGGACTTGGATAGACGAGGGTGGGTACGGTTGGTGGTCGAGTGTGTGTGAAGTGAGGACTTGGATAGACGAGGGTGGGCACGGTTGGTGGTCGAGTGTGTGTGAAGTGAGGACTTGGATAGACGAGGTTGGGTACGGTTGGTGGTAGAGTGTGTGTGAAGTGAGGACTTGGATAGACGAGGTTGGGTACGGTTGGTGGTCGAGTGTGTGTGAAGTGAGGACTTGGATAGACGAGGATGGGTACGGTTGGGTGGTCGAGTTGGTGGTTGGATAGACGAGAGTTGGGTACGGTTGGTGGTCGAAGTGTGTGTTGAGGACTTGGTAGAGTGTGTTGGTGGTCGAGTGTGTGTGAAGTGAGGACTTGGATAGACGAGGTTGGGTACGGTTGGTGGTCGAGTGTGTGTGAAGTGAGTACTTGGATAGACGAGAATGGGTACGGTTGGTGGTCGAGTGTTTTTGAAGTGAGTACTTGGATAGACGAGAATGGGTACGGTTGGCGGTCGAGTGTTTTTGAAGTGAGTACTTGGATAGACGAGAATGGGTACGGTTGGTGGTCGAGTGTTTTTGAAGTGAGTACTTGGATAGACGAGAATGGGTACGGTTGGTGGTCGAGTGTTTTTGAAGTGAGTACTTGGATAGACGAGAATGGGTACGGTTGGTGGTCGAGTGTTTTTGAAGTGAGTACTTGGATAGACGAGAATGGGTACGGTTGGTGGTCGAAGTGAGTACTTGGATAGACGAGAATGGGTACGGTTGGCGTCGAGTGTTTTGAAGTGAGTACTTGGATAGACGAGAATGGGTACGGTTGGTGGTCGAGTGTTTTGAAGTGAGTACTTGGATAGTCGAGAATGGGTACGTTTCGAGTGTTTTTGAAGTGAGTACTTGGATGAGAGAATACGTCGAGGTGGTCGAGTGTTTTTGAAGTGAGTACTTGGATAGACGAGAATGGGTACGGTTGGCGGTCGAGTGTTTTTGAAGTGAGTACTTGGATAGACGAGAATGGGTACGGTTGGTGGTCGAGTGTTTTTGAAGTGAGTACTTGGATAGACGAGAATGGGTACGGTTGGTGGTCGAGTGTTTTTGAAGTGAGTACTTGGATAGACGAGAATGGGTACGGTTGGCGGTCGAGTGTTTTGAAGTGAGTTGGCGGTTGGTCGAGTGTTTTTGAGTACTTGGATAGTCGAGTACGTGGATCGAGAAGTGAGTACGTGGATAGACGAGAATGGGTACGTTGGTGGTCGAGTGTTTTTGAAATGAGTGACTGAGTGAAAGAAAGATGACAGTGCGAGTTGGCGGTAGAGTGAGTTGAGAGGGTTGTGTGCTGACGAATAACATTGATATAGTGGGTGGACAAAGGGGTAACTGGTAGAGTGATGGCGTTTCATTCACAGCCATAGTTCGCTGCAAGAACCTTTCTAGATCATCTTCAAACAGAGGTAGATTATCACATTTTGAGTCTTGAGCCTTGTTGACATCATGTAATCTCCACAACAAAACACTAAAATCTTTATCATTACGCAGTTTCATCAATTGACGATCAGAACGTATCAACCATCTTAGAATGTGGTAGCTTGCCCACATCGGACGACGGGGAAGGTGAATAAGTGGCTGAAATTGACAAGGGAATGAGATTGTGGTTGTCAAACAGAGAATATACGCGTGAGTAATACTGTCTGGGTGTGGGTCCATGAAAAGTCAGAGAAAAGTCATACCTAGTGTAGGAGTTTGATAAAGATGGCAGTCATCTGGAGGTCGGAGTTCTGTGAGGTACAGGCCACAGAGGTCAGACAAGTCACAGCACACGGTGCGTGGCTCCACGTCCTCCCGCAAGAATGCTGCGGGCTGCAGGAAGGGGGAGTGCCGCACGAAGTGACCCCCTGACGGGTACTGAACTTCCAGCGATCCATAAGAGTTGTAGCAACATCGCTAAATAACCCAACATATGAACAGGAGGCATATATGTAAAACATCAGTGCAAGAAATATCCAGTCTTGACTATCCTCCTATCCTCAGAACATATTCCGCATTGTGTAAAGGGTAAAAATAGATGTGAAAATTATTTGAATGGACCACATACATTTAGTGGTGGCACCGGGTGTCCAAGAAATGGGTGAGCAAGTCCTGCCTTAAGTAAACCGAGTTACTCTGGCTAGTAGGATGAGTTGCGTGGGTTTAACTTGTATCAACATTTCACTGATATAACGACGTGGATTTAAGGTTGCTTCGTATGTAAGTGTCTCTTGCTGACAAATCCAGATTAGATTTATAAACAGTAAAGGGAATCAAGTTTAACGAATTGTGACCTTCTTGACCAGTCTGCCATTTGTTCCCCGGAGGTTATTACAGGAATGTGTTTTAGAATGATATCAGGTATTTCGTTTGTTATTTGTGCACCGCTATATGACGGCGGTCTGTAAACAATCGAGTCAACCAAACAATCCAGTGATTGACATCATGAGCATCGATCTATAGGATATGATGACAAGTCAGCCACGTCAGCGAACCTAACCACCCGATCCCGATTGCGTTTGTCGCCTCTTACGACAAACGTCTGATGCTGAAGATCGGTTCTAGACCGGATCTCTACCACATGATGTCATTCTTAAATGCTGTCATCGAAAAGACTGTTCTTATCCCTCAAAACCATTAACTGTTACATTAATATTTATCTTGCCTCACACATAAATGTCGTTCTCTGATTGGCTAACGCTCTTCTATTACTTTCAATGTACCCCGCTTACAAGCGAAAAACATTTTCTATGTACCCCGCTGGGAATGCCGAACTCATTTGGTACTTCGTAGTAGTAATTCTTTATCTCGAATACCATTGATTCACGTATGATGTACGGAAATTACCGATGTTTTGCGAATGCAAATCGATGGAAGGGAGATAACTCTAAATTTGGTTTTCTTGTCGTCTTGTCGTCTGGTACTTCACACTATGATCGGTTTCCCATGCTTCGAACAGTTCAAAATTACCATTGAGGTATTCGGTAAGATAAATACGTTGTTCACTGGTCCCTTGGGGCCCATGGGTTGATGTACCCCCTCGAAACCAGTGAACAACTTATAATATTAAAAATTCAGTAATGTGTCCACTGGACTGGGACAAGTCAATACAGATCCAAACTGAAACCGGTTTCAGAAAACAGTGGCGTACCTACATGTACGCAAAGTGACAATTACCAACACAAGCTGGTTTCATGTGCCTTTCGCAGCATTCAATCGAGCCGTCCGTTAGAGTTACTGCCCCTTATGGAAGGGAAGCTACTATAAGACAGGGGTTTGAAATACACGGTCATATGCACAGGTAACAATTCGGACATATCCGGTCAAATTCAAATGCATTAAATTTGGCAAAAGACTCCGCATAGCTCTACCACGTCCCCAATGGAAACAGATTCCACTCGCTAAATTCATTGATATTTGAATTTCCAGAGTTACCCAAACGTCTTAGTTACAGCCTAGTGAGACACTGATTTTGAGTATTTCAGAAACAAAGATACTAACAATCATTACAGTTGTTTATCCACAGTCCCTACAGTCAATTCTAATTCGATGACCTATCAAGTCAAAACATTGATTACACAACAGTCTCGTTTCCTGCTGACTGGGTTCCGGCTATTGCGCAACTTAGTACAATAACCAGTCCAGAATTTTGAGCCCAACTCATTTAACTGGATATATAAATATTAATCAGTATTATTTGATACATCTAAGCACTTGTATATTGCAACACTACGCTCCTTCTAATCCTCGCAAACACGTCGTGCAGCGTGCTCTGTCGTACAGCGTGCTCTGACAAACGGAAATCTGGAAATCGTGGAAATCTCAAAACGAGGTTCTGCCGCTAGAAACGTTTGGCGGTCTGGTACGGACTTGACATTATATCAGTCACATTTGACTTATATTAATAAGCGCAAAGGACACATAACAGGTGTAACCAATGAGCCAGATGAATTGTGAATCATTGTACGACCTCTTCAGGGGCAGTCTGTGACGTCTTAGTTAACGACATGCTGCCTAAACATGTACATTAAATATAGAATTGTTTAAAACTTTAGAATTAAAATCAATTTGTAAATACCGTTTTCTTATGACACAAGAAAGTGGAATTCAGTGTAGCCTTAGTTGTTTCTAGTGTCTCTTTTCACTTTCATACGAGAAAATTCGGATCGGCTGAAAAGTAGGTTATCGCCTGAATTGGTCAATTAGACTAATGTTTCGGTTTGTGACGCCATGTATGTAACCACTAAACGTAGTATACACTTGACCTTTCATATTTACATAGCTATCCGCATCCGTTTACATCTGTATCCTGCCGAGAAAACGTCTCATTATGTGAGATATTATCATTCTTTCCATGCAGCTGACCGCAGATCCGAGCTAGAGTTGATCTTCAGTAACCCATGCTTGTCTTAAAAGGCGACTAACAGGATCGGGTGGTCAGGCTCACTGACTTGGGTGACACATGTCATCGTATCCCAGCTGTGTACATCGATGCTCATGTTGTTGATCACTGGATTGTCTGGTCCAGACTCGATTATTTACAGACCGCCGCCATATAGCTGGAATATTGCTGAGGGTGGCGTAAACCTAAACTCATCTTTCGCTCCATGCAACTTGAAGGTTATATACCATATTTGGGATTACACTTTCTCAGTAGATTACAGATTCTAGTACTGTTTGCCACTTGAAGAAGGATGTGGATATGAATAAGAACGAATCTTGGTAATCCCTTGGGCCAGAAACACACGCTAAATATCACATTGTTACTACGTCCCATATCCACCGTTTAAAGACAAGAAGGAACGGAGATCCTTACCCTTGTAGCCGTAGTGTGGAAGCCTGGCCTCGGGAGGGTGGCATAGAAACAACCATCCCTGTACACAGAGAACCTTCGGTCCAGCTGCAGCTGTGAGTAGCTGCATGGGCAGCTGTAGGCTTGGTCAAGTTCCTGTTGTATAGCCCCCAGATCCGCCTCCTCCTTTTGGTACCATCTCACGCACTCCAGGGCGGGGTTCCTCGCCTTCCGCTGGCAGTGCCCCAGCTTGTAGTACCATGCACCGGTGGTGTTCCCCATGTTGCCTACAACAGTCGTAAGTGCGTGAATTATTTGACTCACAACAGAATAATGTCCCTGTTATAAAACACACACACACACCACACCACACACGTGTGAGTGTGAGTGTGAGTGTGAGTGAGAGAGAGAGAGAGAGAGAGAGAGTGTGTGTGTGTGTGTGTGTGTGTGTGTGAGTGTGTGTGTGTGTGTGTGTGTGTGTGTCCCTTAGTGTTTCTCAATCACATTTTCTCATTCATGGTTTAAACATTCATGGTTAAAATGTAACGTTGGAGGATCAAAACTGTTTTGATATCACGTAATGATATATCCTTTATCAACTATGAGGTAAAACAAAGTAAATCAACCTTATTTTGTTCGTAGTTGAAATCGAAAACATTTCGTTAAATTTAATTATGTCTATTCCACAAATTCCTGAACAGTATAATATTTTATCTATTGCTGGGTAATTTTGAGTAAAAATACCTCAATGAAAACAGATATCTAGGCTCTGAAGTATTCATAAAAATGATAAAACGGATGCTAGAGGCTTTCTTCATTTTCAGAAACTGTGAAACTAAATCATTTTCAAGACATTGATGTATTCAATTATCGCCAGAGAAACCTAAGACCCAGATAATTAAACCAAGTAAATGAATACCCTGAATCTGATTTGCATGGTTTTGTATAGTTCTTTACAGTTCAGTGTGCCATTATTTGAATTAGAAACACATTTCAGATTCACCCGAATTTTTCGTATTACTGTAGCTCAAATCTTACATGGCATGATCTATTAACTATGGTCATATGAAGGACCGATTTATTATAGTGGTATGGAAGAATCGGGTTGTCCTTAACTTTCTGCACTGGTTTAGTTATCTCAACACTTTGTGTTCCAAATGGACTAAATATTCCTTGAAACTCTAACTTAATTACTTCTTTTCAAAACGTACGCGTGTTCTTAAATGTTTGCTTTGTTATCATTACAATTAAGGTAATATAACATATTGATAATACAACATTATACGGGAATTTAGGTTTCTTTCTTTCTCCCAGCTATATGGCGGTGGTCTATAAATGATATAGTCTTGACAAAACAATCCAGTGATCAGCAGCATGAGCAACTATGTACGCAGTCAACTAAGTCAGCGAGCCTAACCACCCGTCCCCTTAAGTCGCATGGGTCGACTGAAGACCGGATCTTCACAGGTCGGGAATACAGGTAACTCCATCCCTAGTGCACCAGCCTCACCTATCTTCTCGTTGATCCTGAAGACAGACGTGGTTTCGCTGAAGGGGTTGTTCCTGTACGCCTGTGACCCACACTGCCAGCCGACCACAGCGATCCGGCCAGCGTCCACTGTCCACCCCATGTCTCCGTAGATGTACATGGCGTATGTGTCGTCCCCGTCGGTTACAAGCAGTAGCTGGAACGTCGTATTCTGTAGGAGAACAAAGTCACCAATGAAACTCTCGTGGATTGATACGAGGAAATCAAACACGAATTGTTCATTATATAAGATATTCATCTATTTAAAATCACAAAGTTTCTGTCCATTTTGTAATACTGTAAAGAATGAATTACACTTCATATTTCTTTGTCCTTTATATAATGGTTTAAGGCAAATGTATTTTCCACAATGGTTACATTCAAATATTAATGCTACAAAACTGTATTCAATTTCAATACTTTCCTGTAAAACATCCTTATTACAATATAAGGTAGCTCTTTGTATTTATCACGCGCTTGTATTGAGAAGAGATTCAATGTAACGTGTGTGTCGCATGTTGTTTATGTTGTACATATTATGCATATTTATTTTGTATATGGGCCTCTGGCCTTCATGCAATAAACTGATTGATTGATTGATTGATATTATTGGATTATTTTCTGATTTTTTCCAGTTGTTTATCATTAGGACACAAGAAGGATACAAAGAACCCGTTCTCGCATGCATCTCGCATTAAATGTTATTATTAGAATCATCTCTTTTGATATGTTTCTGACATGAGGGAATCATTAATATGTGGAGGGATAAATCGAAACGAGGCATATTTGTTAAAGTATTTACATTGTGTGGTGAACAGTGGAGGCAGTGTGTGTGAATGTATTATGGTGTATCTATAGTTTCACTTTTGATTTTAGATGGTATGAACTGACGTGGACTATATAGTCTTGTACTATGTAACCGCCTTTTTTGTTTGGACCGAGGAGCAAATGAAAGTATACCCCACCATTGTCAAATGCATAGAAACATACTCGGTATATTCTTGCTTGCCACAGGTTTATATATCAAGAAGAGATTGAAACCATAGGTGGCAGAACTTAAATCTCTGTATCATTAAATAAATATTGTTTATCATCTTATCAGATTCAATATGGATGGGATGTATGACATTCAAACAGTTTTAATACCTAATATCTGAATTCAGCTTTCTTTTTAAACTATATCTTCAACATTCAACGACCAATAAGGAAAATGGTAAGTCTTCAACACCGTATGTTTCCATTAAAACTCAAATCCTTCAATAGAGTTTATACAAAGGCAAACGTTTACCTGGCTAGGAGCAGTTGTAATCGCAGGGTATGGATTCACATGATCCCACGTGACTAGAAGTGCTGTCGCAGCGGTGAAGTTCTCAAACTCCGAGTTATGTGACTGCAAAGTTGACACTGCTGACTTCAGGAAGATTTCCGCCTCATTTGCAGAGGTGTTCGATACGGAGTATTTGTCATACAGGTGGTAGAAAATGTCAGCGAAGTTCGTCCCTTTCAGATCAATGTCGGACCAGAATGGCGCAACCATATTGTATTCTCCATACGGCAGTTTCTCAGGGTTAGAATTTACCCGAATTTTGTCCATTGTGATATACCCGTCTGTATATACCTGTGGAAATAGAGACATGGTGGACATGTGATAGTGTGTCGGTACAGACATGTTAAAAGGTTACTTATCGAAAAATGTGTTCTTAAGATATCTACATGTACATGAAAGCCTAACGTTACATCGATAAATATAAATGCATTTCATGCACTTCAACAGATACCATCTAACATTTTGAAGTATTGGACCCGTGAACACCCGAGTTGGAATTGATCTTCAGTAACCTAGCTTGTCGTAAGAGACGACTAACGGGATCGAGTGGTCAGGCTCGCTGACTTGGTTCACACATGTCATCGGTTCCCCATTCCAGTGGATGATGTGACCTGCTCCGTGCTTGCTGTTGAGAATTCAGTTGTAGCACTCTCTGTTGATGTCTCAGTGGGCGATGTCACTTCCTCTGTAGATGTAGGTGCAGAGCTTTGGGATACAGCATACGTTCCTGGTTTCGAGCTACTAGATGACGGTGAGGGAGAGGTCTGTTTGAGCTTGAGAAGGAGATGTTGAAGTTGTTTCTGATGTTGGCGAGCTCCCAAGTGTAGAACTTGTAGTCGATTCCTGTGTGGATTCTGATGTCATCTCTGTACTGGAGGAAGAGGTCGGAATGCTGGAGAAGTCTCTGTGCTTGTAGACATTCCAGTGGATGATGTCAGTGAGGTAGCACGATTCCTGTGTGCTTGCTGTTGAAGATTCCACAGTAGCACTTGTAGTTGATCCCTGTGTGGATTCTGATGTCATCTCTGTACTGGAGGAAGAGGTCGGAATGCTGGACGAAATCTCGCTCGTCAGTGAGGACGTATGAACTGTGCTTGTAGACATTCCAGTGGATGATGTGACCTGCTCCGTGCTTGCTGTTGAGAATTCAGTTGTAGCACTCTCTGTTGATGTCTCAGTGGGCGATGTCACTTCCTCTGTAGATGTAGGTGCAGAGCTTTGGGATACAGCATACGTTCCTGGTTTCGAGCTACTAGATGACGGTGAGGAGAGGTCTGTTTGAGCTTGAGAAGGAGATGTTGAAGTTGTTTCTGATGTTGGCGAGCTCCCAAGTGTAGAACTTGTAGTCGATTCCTGTGTGGATTCTGATGTCATCTCTGTACTGGAGGAAGAGGTCGGAATGCTGGACGAAATCTCGCTCGTCAGTGAGGACGTATGAACTGTGCTTGTAGACATTCCAGTGGATGATGTGACCTGCTCCGTGCTTGCTGTTGAGAATTCAGTTGTAGCACTCTCTGTTGATGTCTCAGTGGGCGATGTCACTTCCTCTGTAGATGTAGGTGCAGAGCTTTTGGGTTCTGCAATCGATCCTGGTTTCGAGATACTAGATGACGGTGAGGAGAGGTCTGTTTGAGCTTGAGAGCGAGATGTTGAAGTTGTTTCTGATGTTGGCGAACTCCCAAGTGTAGAACTTGTAGTCGATTCCTGTGTGGATTCTGATGTCATCTCTGTACTGGAGGAAGAGGTCGGAATGCTGGACGAAATCTCGCTCGTCAGTGAGGACGTATGAACTGGGCTTGTAGACATTCCAGTGGATGATGTGACATGCTCCGTGCTTGCTCTCTGTCAGTGAGTGGGCGATGTCACTTCCTCTGTAGATGTAGGTGCAGAACTGCCTGGTTTCGAACTAGATGACACAGTTTGTGTTGAGTTGTTTCTGATGTTGGCATTCCATTCTGATGTCATCTCTGTACTGGAGGAAGAGGTCGGAATGCTGGACGAAATCTCGCTCGTCAGTGAGGACGTATGAACTGTGCTTGTAGACATTCCAGTGGATGATGTGACCTGCTCCGTGCTTGCTGTTGAGAATTCAGTTGTAGCACTCTCTGTTGATGTCTCAGTGGGCGATGTCACTTCCTCTGTAGATGTAGGTGCAGAGCTTTGGGGTTCTGCATACGATCCTGGTTTCGAGCTACTAGATGACGGTGAGGAGAGGTCTGTTTGAGCTTGAGAGCGAGATGTTGAAGTTGTTTCTGATGTTGGCGAACTCCCAAGTGTAGAACTTGTAGTCGATTCCTGTGTGGATTCTGATGTCATCTCTGTACTGTCGGAATGCTGGATTCCTGTGAGGACGTAAGAACTGGATTCTGATGTCATCTAGCACTGTACTGGAGGAAGAGGAAGAGGTCGGAATGCTGGACGAAATCTCGCTCGTCAGTGAGGACGTATGAACTGGGCTTGTAGACATTCCAGTGGATGATGTGACCTGCTCCGTGCTTGCTGTTGAGAATTCAGTTGTAGCACTCTCTGTTGATGTCTCAGTGGGCGATGTCACTTCCTCTGTAGATGTAGGTGCAGAGCTTTTGGGTTCTGCAATCGATCCTGGTTTCGAGATACTAGATGACGGTGAGGAGAGGTCTGTTTGAGCTTGAGAGCGAGATGTTGAGATGTTGAAGTTGTTTCGATGTTGGCGATGTCATCCCTGGAGGAAGAGGTGTAGAACTTGTAGTCGATTCCTGTGTGTTGAAGATTCTGATGTCATCTCTGTACTGGAGGAAGAGGTCGGAATGCTGGACGAAATCTCGCTCGTCAGTGAGGACGTATGAACTGTGCTTGTAGACATTCCAGTGGATGATGTGACCTGCTCCGTGCTTGCTGTTGAGAATTCAGTTGTAGCACTCTCTGTTGATGTCTCAGTGGGCGATGTCACTTCCTCTGTAGATGTAGGTGCAGAGCTTTGGGATACAGCATACGTTCCTGGTTTCGAGCTACTAGATGACGGTGAGGAGAGGTCTGTTTGAGCTTGAGAAGGAGATGTTGAAGTTGTTTCTGATGTTGGCGAGCTCCCAAGTGTAGAACTTGTAGTCGATTCCTGTGTGGATTCTGATGTCATCTCTGTACTGGAGGAAGAGGTCGGAATGCTGGACGAAATCTCGCTCGTCAGTGAGGACGTATGAACTGTGCTTGTAGACATTCCAGTGGATGATGTGAAGACCACAGTGCACTCCCCAAGTGCTGTGTGGATTCTGATGTCATCTCTGTACTGGAGGAAGAGGTCGGAATGCTGGACAAATCTCGCTCGTCAGTGAGGACGTATGAACTGTGCTTGTAGACATTCCAGTGGATGATGTGACCTGCTCCGTGCTCTGTTGAGAATTCAGTTGTAGCACTCTCTGTTGATGTCTCAGTGGGCGATGTCACTTCCTCTGTAGATGTAGGTGCAGAGCTTTGGGGTACAGCATACGTTCCTGGTTTCGAGCTACTAGATGACGGTGAGGAGAGGTCTGTTTGAGCTTGAGAGAGCGAGATGTTGAAGTTGTTTCTGATGTTGGCGAGCTCCCAAGTGTAGAACTTGTAGTCGATTCCTGTGTGGATTCTGATGTTGTACTGGAGGAAGAGGTTGTGCTGGAAGAAGTCTCGCTCGTCAGCGAGGACTCCCAAGTGTAGAACTTGTAGTCGATTCCTGTGTGGATTCTGATGTCATCTCTGTACTGGAGGAAGAGGTCGGAATGCTGGACGAAATCTCGCTCGTCAGTGAGGACGTATGAACTGTGCTTGTAGACATTCCAGTGGATGATGTGACCTGCTCCGTGCTTGCTGTTGAGAATTCAGTTGTAGCACTCTCTGTTGATGTCTCAGTGGGCGATGTCACTTCCTCTGTAGATGTAGGTGCAGAGCTTTGGGATACAGCATACGTTCCTGGTTTCGAGCTACTAGATGACGGTGAGGAGAGGTCTGTTTGAGCTTGAGAAGGAGATGTTGAAGTTGTTTCTGATGTTGGCGAGCTCCCAAGTGTAGAACTTGTAGTCGATTCCTGTGTGGATTCTGATGTCATCTCTGTACTGGAGGAAGAGGTCGGAATGCTGGACGAAGTCTCGCTCGTCAGTGAGGACGTAAGAACTGTGCTTCGTAATGCTGGACGAAATCTCGCCTGCTTGCAGTGAGGAGTAGCATTGAACTGTGCTTGTACTGGAGGAAGAGGTTGCCAAATGCTCGTCATGAGGACGTACTGTGCTTGTAGACATTCCAGTGGATGATGTGACCTGCTCCGTGCTTGCTGTTGAGAATTCAGTTGTAGCACTCTCTGTTGATGTCTCAGTGGCGATTGATGTCTCAGTGGGCGATGTCACTTCCTCTGTAGATGTAGGTGCAGAGCTTTGGGATACAGCATACGTTCCTGGTTTCGAGCTACTAGATGACGGTGAGGAGAGGTCTGTTTGAGCTTGAGAGCGAGATGTTGAAGTTGTTTCTGATGTTGGCGAACTCCCAAGTGTAGAACTTGTAGTCGATTCCTGTGTGGATTCTGATGTCATCTTGTACTGGAGGAAGAGGTCGGAATGCTGGACGATTCGCTCGTCATGAGGACGTATGAACTCTTGTACATTCCAGGGATGATGTCGGCTCCGTGCTGGAAGAATTCAGAACTCTCTGTTGATGTCTCAGTGGGGATGTCACTTCCTCTGTAGATGTAGGTGCAGAGCTTTGGTGATTGGTGAGCTACTAGTGACGGGAGAGGTTGTTTGAGCCGAGATGTGTGATGATTCCACAGTAGCACTTGTAGTCATCCCTGTGTGGATTCTGATGTCATCTCTGTACTGGAGGAAGAGGTCGGAATGCTGGACGAAATCTCGCTCGTCAGTGAGGACGTATGAACTGTGCTTGTAGACATTCCAGTGGATGATGTGACCTGCTCCGTGCTTGCTGTTGAGAATTCAGTTGTAGCACTCTCTGTTGTTGATGTCTCAGTGGGCGATGTCACTTCCTCTGTAGATGTAGGTGCAGAGCTTTTGGGTTCCTGGTTTCGATACTAGATCCTGGTTCTCGAGCTTGAGAGCTAGATGACGAAGTTGAGTTGGCGAGGTCTGTTTGAGCTTGTGAAGATTCTGAGATGTACTGAAGTTGTTTCTGATGTTGGCGAAGTCTCCCAAGTGTAGAACTTGTAGTCGATTCCTGTGTGGATTCTGATGTCATCTCTGATGTACTGTACTGAGGAAGAGGTCGGAATGCTGGACGAAATCTCGCTCGTCAGTGAGGACGTATGAACTGTGCTTGTAGACATTCCAGTGGATGATGTGACCTGCTCCGTGCTTGCTGCTGTTGAGAATTCAGTTGTAGCACTCTCTGTTGATGTCTCAGTGGGCGATGTCACTTCCTCTGTAGATGTAGGTGCAGAGCTTTTGGGTTCTGCAATCGATCCTGGTTTCGAGCTACTAGATGACGGTGAGGAGAGGTCTGTTTGAGCTTGAGAAGGAGATGTTGAAGTTGTTTCTGATGTTGGCGAGCTCCCAAGTGTAGAACTTGTAGTCGATTCCTGTGTGGATTCTGATGTCATCTCTGTACTGGAGGAAGAGGTCGGAATGCTGGAAGAAGTCTCGCTCGTCAGTGAGGACGTATGAGAACTTGTGATTTGCTCCGTGCTAGTGTTGATGTCCTGATTCCTGTGTGTAGTTGATCCCAAGTGTAGTGTGGATTCTGATGTCATCTCTGTACTGGAGGAAGAGGTCGGAATGCTGGACGAAATCTCGCTCGTCAGTGAGGACGTATGAACTGTGCTTGTAGACATTCCAGTGGATGATGTGACCTGCTCCGTGCTTGCTGTTGAGAATTCAGTTGTAGCACTCTCTGTTGATGTCTCAGTGGGCGATGTCACTTCCTCTGTAGATGTAGGTGCAGAGCTTTGGGATACAGCATACGTTCCTGGTTTCGAGCTACTAGATGACGGTGAGGAGAGGTCTGTTTGAGCTTGAGAGATGGAGATGTTGAAGTTGTTTCTGATGTTGGCGAGCTTGTAGAACTTGTAGTCGATCCCTGTGTGGATTCTGATGTCATCTCTGTACTGGAGGAAGAGGTCGGTGTGCTGGAAGTGTCTCACTCGTCAGTGAGGACGTAAGAACTGTGTTTGTAGTGGCCTGCTCCCTGCTTGCTGTTGAAGATTCCACAGTAGCACTTGTAGTTGATCCCCGTGTGGATTCTGATGTCATCTCTGTACTGGAGGAAGAGGTCGGAATGCTGGACGAAATCTCGCTCGTCAGTGAGGACGTATGAACTGTGCTTGTAGACATTCCAGTGGATGATGTGACCTGCTCCGTGCTTGCTGTTGAGAATTCAGTTGTAGCACTCTCTGTTGATGTCTCAGTGGGCGATGTCACTTCCTCTGTAGATGTAGGTGCAGAGCTTTGGGATACAGCATACGTTCCTGGTTTCGAGCTACTAGATGACGGTGAGGAGAGGTCTGTTTGAGCTTGAGAAGGAGATGTTGAAGTTGTTTCTGATGTTGGCGAGCTCCCAAGTGTAGAACTTGTAGTCGATTCCTGTGTGGATTCTGATGTCATCTCTGTACTGGAGGAAGAGGTCGGAATGCTGGACGAAATCTCGCTCGTCAGTGAGGACGTATGAACTGTGCTTCAGACATTCCAGTGGGATGTGACCTGCTCCGAACAGTGTGCACTTGTAGATGTTGCCATGTGTAGATGATGTGGCCTGCTCCCTGCTTGCTGTTGAAGATTCCACAGTAGCACTTGTAGTTGATCCCCGTGTGGATTCTGATGTCATCTCTGTACTGGAGGAAGAGGTCGGAATGCTGGACGAAATCTCGCTCGTCAGTGAGTGAGGACGTATGAACTGTGCTTGTAGACATTCCAGTGGATGATGTGACCTGCTCCGTGCTTGCTGTTGAGAATTCAGTTGTAGCACTCTCTGTTGATGTCTCAGTGGGCGATGTCACTTCCTCTGTAGATGTAGGTGCAGAACTTTGGGGTGCAGCATACGTTCCTGGTTTCGAGCTACTAGATGACGGTGAGGAGAGGTCTGTTTGAGCTTGAGAAGGAGATGTTGAAGTTGTTTCTGATGTTGGCGAGCTCCCAAGTGTAGAACTTGTAGTCGATTCCTGTGTGTGGATTCTGTACTGGAGGATGTCGGAATCTCTGTACTGGAGGAAGAGGTCGGAATGCTGGAAGAAGTTTCACTTTGTCAGTGAGGACAAGGATGTAGGTGCAGTGCTTGTGATTTGTTTCAGTAGAGATGGTGGCCTGCTCCGTGCTTGCTGTTGAAGATTCCACAGTAGCACTTGTAGTCGATTCCTGTGTGGATTCTGATGTCATCTCTGTACTGGAGGAAGAGGTCGGAATGCTGGACGAAATCTCGCTCGTCAGTGAGGACGTATGAACTGTGCTTGTAGACATTCCAGTGGATGATGTGACCTGCTCCGTGCTTGCTGTTGAGAATTCAGTTGTAGCACTCTCTGTTGATGTCTCAGTGGGCGATGTCACTTCCTCTGTAGATGTAGGTGCAGAGCTTTGGGATACAGCATACGTTCCTGGTTTCGAGCTACTAGATGACGGTGAGGAGAGGTCTGTTTGAGCTTGAGAAGGAGATGTTGAAGTTGTTTCTGATGTTGGCGAGCTCCCAAGTGTAGAACTTGTAGTCGATTCCTGTGTGGATTCTGATGTCATCTCTGTACTGGAGGAAGAGGTCGGAATGCTGGAAGAAGTCGCTCGTCAGCGAGGACAAGTATGAACTGTGCTTGTAGATTTGCCAGTGGATGACGTGACCTGCTCCGTGCTTGCTGTTGAAGATTCCACAGTAGCACTTGTAGTTGATCCCGATGTGTGGATTCTGATGTTATCTCTGTACTGGAGGAAGAGGTCGGGAATGCTGGACGAAATCTCGCTCGTCAGTGAGGACGTATGAACTGTGCTTGTAGACATTCCAGTGGATGATGTGACCTGCTCCGTGCTTGCTGTTGAGAATTCAGTTGTAGCACTCTCTGTTGATGTCTCAGTGGGCGATGTCACTTCCTCTGTAGATGTAGGTGCAGAGCTTTGGGATACAGCATACGTTCCTGGTTTCGAGCTACTAGATGACGGTGAGGAGAGGTCTGTTTGAGCTTGAGAAGGAGATGTTGAAGTTGTTTCTGATGTTGGCGAGCTCCCAAGTGTAGAACTTGTAGTCGATTCCTGTGTGGATTCTGATGTCATCTCTGTACTGGAGGAAGAGGTCGGAATGCTGGAAGAAGTCTCACTTTTCAGTGAGGACAAGGATAAGGTGCTTGTAGATTTTCCAGTGGATGACGTGGCCTGCTCCGTGCTTGCTGTTGAAGATTCCACAGTAGCACTTGTAGTTGATCCCCGTGTGGATTCTGATGTCATCTCTGTACTGGAGGAAGAGGTCGGAATGCTGGACGAAATCTCGCTCGTCAGTGAGGACGTATGAACTGTGCTTGTAGACATTCCAGTGGATGATGTGACCTGCTCCGTGCTTGCTGTTGAGAATTCAGTTGTAGCACTCTCTGTTGATGTCTCAGTGGGCGATGTCACTTCCTCTGTAGATGTAGGTGCAGAGCTTTGGGGTTCTGCATACGTTCCTGGTTTCGAGCTACTAGATGACGGTGAGGAGAGGTCTGTTTGAGCTTGAGAAGGAGATGTTGAAGTTGTTTCTGATGTTGGCGAGCTCCCAAGTGTAGAACTTGTAGTCGATTCCTGTGTGGATTCTGATGTCATCTCTGTACTGGAGGAAGAGGTCGGTGTGCTGGAAGAAGTCTCACTTTTCAGTGAGGACAGGGTGCTTGTAGATTTGTTGAGTAGAGGATGTGGCCTGCTCCGTGCTTGCTGTTGAAGATTCCACAGTAGCACTTGTAGTTGATCCCCGTGTGGATTCTGATGTCATCTCTGTACTGGAGGAAGAGGTCGGAATGCTGGACGAAATCTCGCTCGTCAGTGAGGACGTATGAACTGTGCTTGTAGACATTCCAGTGGATGATGTGACCTGCTCCGTGCTTGCTGTTGAGAATTCAGTTGTAGCACTCTCTGTTGATGTCTCAGTGGGCGATGTCACTTCCTCTGTAGATGTAGGTGCAGAGCTTTGGGGTTCTGCATACGTTCCTGGTTTCGAGCTACTAGATGACGGTGAGGAGAGGTCTGTTTGAGCTTGAGAAGGAGATGTTGAAGTTGTTTCTGATGTTGGCGAGCTCCCAAGTGTAGAACTTGTAGTCGATTCCTGTGTGGATTTCTGATGTAATCTCTGTACTGGAGGAAGAGGTCGGTGTGCTGGAAGAATTTCACTTTTCAGCGAGGACAAGGGATAGGGTGCTTGTAGATTTGTCAGTAGAGGATGTGGCCTGCTCCGTGCTTGCTGTTGAAGATTCCACAGTAGCACTTGTAGTTGATCCCCGTGTGGATTCTGATGTCATCTCTGTACTGGAGGAAGAGGTCGGAATGCTGGACGAAATCTCGCTCGTCAGTGAGGACGTATGAACTGTGCTTGTAGACATTCCAGTGGATGATGTGACCTGCTCCGTGCTTGCTGTTGAGAATTCAGTTGTAGCACTCTCTGTTGATGTCTCAGTGGGCGATGTCACTTCCTCTGTAGATGTAGGTGCAGAACTTTGGGGTGCAACATACGTTCCTGGTTTCGAGCTACTAGATGACGGTGAGGAGAGGTCTGTTTGAGCTTGAGAAGGAGATGTTGAAGTTGTTTCTGATGTTGGCGAGCTCCCAAGTGTAGAACTTTCAGTCGATCCTTGTGTGGATTCTCGATGTAATCTCTGTACTGGAGGAAGAGGTCGGTGTGCTGGAAGAAGTTTCACTTTTCAGTGAGGACAAGGATAGGGTGCTTGTAGATTTGCCAGTAGAGGATGTGGCCTGCTCCGTGCTTGCTGTTGAAGATTCCACAGTAGCACTTGTAGTTGATCCCCGTGTGGATTCTGATGTTATCTCTGTACTGGAGGAAGAGGTCGGAATGCTGGACGAAATCTCGCTCGTCAGTGAGGACGTATGAACTGTGCTTGTAGACATTCCAGTGGATGATGTGACCTGCTCCGTGCTTGCTGTTGAGAATTCAGTTGTAGCACTCTCTGTTGATGTCTCAGTGGGCGATGTCACTTCCTCTGTAGATGTAGGTGCAGAACTTTGGGGTGCAACATCCGTTCCTGGTTTCGAGCTACTAGATGACTGTGAGGAGAGGTCTGTTTGAGCTTGAGAAGGAGATGTTGAAGTTGTTTCTGATGTTGGCGAGCTCCCAAGTGTAGAACTTGTAGTCGATCCTTGTGTGGATTCTGATGTAATCTCTGTACTGGAGGAAGAGGTCGGTGTGCTGGAAGAAGTTTCACTTTTCAACGAGGACAAGGATAGGGTGCTTGTAGATTTGCCAGTAGAGGATGTGGCCTGCTCCGTGCTTGCTGTTGAAGATTTCACAGTAGCACTTGTAGTTGATCCCCGTGTGGATTCTGATGTTATCTCTGTTCTGGAGGAAGGGGTGGGAATGCTGGAAGAAGTCTCGCTCGTCAGTGAGGACGTAGGAACTGTGCTTGTAGACATTCCAGTGGATGACGTGACCTGCTCCGTGCTTGCTGTTACCAATTCACTTGTGAAACTCTTTGTTGATGTCTCAGTGGGCGATGTCACTTCCTCTGTAGATATAGTTGCAGAACTGTGGGATGCAGCATTCGTTCTTGGTTTCATGCTACCAAATGACTGTGAGGAGAGGCCTGTTGGAGCTTGAGAAGGAGATGTTGAAGTTGTTTCTGTCGTTGGCGAGCTTCCAAATGTAGAACTTTCAGTCGATCCTTGTGTGGATTTCGATGTAATCTCTCTACTAGAGGAAGAAGTCGGTGTGCTGGAAGAAGTTTCACTTTTCAACGAGGACAAGGATAGGGTGCTTGTAGATTTGCCAGTAGAGGATGTGGCCTGCTCCGTGCTTGCTGTTGAAGATTCCACAGTAGCACTTGTAGTTGATCCCCGTGTGGATTCTGATGTTATCTCTGTACTGGAGGAAGAAATCGGAATGCTGGAAGAAGTCTCGCTCGTCAGTGAGGACGGAGGAACTGTGCTTGTAGACATTCCAGTGGATGACGTGACCTGCTCCGTGCTTGCTGTTACCAATTCACTTGTGAAACTCTTTGTTGATGTCTCAGTGGGCGATGTCACTTCCTCTGTAGATATAGTTGCAGAACTGTGGGATGCAGCATTCGTTCTTGGTTTCATGCTACTAAATGACTGTGAGGAGAGGCCTGTTGGAGCTTGAGAAGGAGATGTTGAAGTTGTTTCTGTCGTTGGCGAGCTCCCAAGTGTAGAACTTTCAGTCGATCCTTGTGTCGATTCCATGTAATCTCTGTACTGGAGGAAGAAGTCGGTGTGCTGGAAGAAGTTTCACTTTTCAACGAGGACAAGGATAGGGTGCTTGTAGATTTGCCAGTAGAGGATGTGGCCTGCTCCGTGCTTGCTGTTGAAGATTCCACAGTAGCACTTGTAGTTGATCCCCGTGTGGATTCTGATGTTATCTCTGTACTGGAGGAAGAGGTCGGAATGCTGGAAGAAGTCTCGCTCGTCAGTGAGGACGTAGGAACTGTGCTTGTAGACATTCCAGTGGATGACGTGACCTGCTCCGTGCTTGCTGTTACCAATTCACTTGTGAAACTCTTTGTTGATGTCTCAGTGGGCGATGTCACTTCCTCTGTAGATATAGTTGCAGAACTGTGGGATGCAGCATTCGTTCTTGGTTTCATGCTACTAAATGACTGTGAGGAGAGGCCTGTTGGAGCTTGAGAAGGAGATGTTGAAGTTGTTTCTGTCGTTGGCGAGCTTCCAAATGTAGAACTTTCAGTCGATCCTTGTGTGGATTTCGATGTAATCTCTGTACTAGAGGAAGAAGTCGGTGTGCTGGAAGAAGTTTCACTTTTCAACGAGGACAAGGATAGGGTGCTTGTAGATTTGCCAGTAGAGGATGTGGCCTGCTCCGTGCTTGCTGTTGAAGATTTCACAGTAGCACTTGTAGTTGATCCCCGTGTGGATTCTGATGTTATCTCTGTTCTGGAGGAAGGGGTGGGAATGCTGGAAGAAGTCTCGCTCGTCAGTGAGGACGTAGGAACTGTGCTTGTAGACATTCCAGTGGATGACGTGACCTGCTCCGTGCTTGCTGTTACCAATTCACTTGTGAAACTCTTTGTTGATGTGTCAGTGGGCGATGTCACTTCCTCTGTAGATATAGTTGCAGAACTGTGGGATGCAGCATTCGTTCTTGGTTTCATGCTACTAAATGACTGTGAGGAGAGGCCTGTTGGAGCTTGAGAAGGAGATGTTGAAGTTGTTTCTGTCGTTGGCGAGCTTCCAAATGTAGAACTTTCAGTCGATCCTTGTGTGGATTTCGATGTAATCTCTCTACTAGAGGAAGAAGTCGGTGTGCTGGAAGAAGTTTCACTTTTCAACGAGGACAAGGATAGGGTGCCTGTAGATTTGCCAGTAGAGGATGTGGCCTGCTCCGTGCTTGCTGTTGAAGATTCCACAGTAGCACTTGTAGTTGATCCCCGTGTGGATTCTGATGTTATCTCTGTACTGGAGGAAGAGGTCGGAATGCTGGAAGAAGTCTCGCTCGTCAGTGAGGACGTAGGAACTGTGCTTGTAGACATTCCAGTGGATGACGTGACCTGCTCCGTGCTTGCTGTTACCAATTCACTTGTGAAACTCTTTGTTGATGTCTCAGTGGGCGATGTCACTTCCTCTGTAGATATAGTTGCAGAACTGTGGGATGCAACATCCGTTCCTGCTTTCAAGCTACTAGATGACTGTGAGGAGAGGTCTGTTGGAACTTGAGAAGGAGATGTTGGAGTTGTTTCTGTCGTTGGCGAGCTCCCAAGTGTAGAACTTTCAGTCGATCCTTGTGTCGATGTCCATGTAATCTCTGTACTGGAGGAAGAAGTCGGTGTGCTGGAAGAAGTTTCACTTTTCAGCGAGGACAAGGATAGGGTGCTTGTAGATTTGTCAGTAGAGGATGTGGCCTGCTCCGTGCTTGCTGTTGAAGATTCCACAGTAGCACTTGTAGTTGATCCCCGTGTGGAATCTGATGTTATCTCTGTACTGGAGGAAGAGGTCGGAATGCTGGAAGAAGTCTCGCTCGTCAGTGAGGACGTAGGAACTGTGTTTGTAGACATTCCAGTGGATGACGTGACCTGCTCCGTGCTTGCTGTTGCGAATTCAGTTGCAACACTCATTGTTGATGCGTCAGTGGGGGATGTCACTTCCTCTGTAGATATAGTTGCAGAACTGTAGGGTGCAACATCCGTTCCTGCTTTCAAGCTACTAGATGACTGTGAGGAGAGGTCTGTTGGAACTTGAGAAGGAGATGTTGAAGTTGTTTCTGTCGTTGGCGAGCTCCCAAGTGTAGAACTTTCAGTCGATCCTTGTGTAGATTTCGATGTAATCTCTGTACTGGAGGAAGAGGTCGGTGTGCTGGAAGAAGTTTCACTTTTCAGCGAGGACAAGGGTAGGGTGCTTGTCGATTTGCCAATAAAGAATGTGGCCTGCTCCGTGCTTGCTGTTGAAGATTCCACAGTAGCACTTGTAGTTGATCCCCGTGTGGAATCTGATGGTATCTCTGTACTGGAGGAAGAGGTCGGAATGCTGGAAGAAGTCTCGCTCGTCAGTGAGGACGTAGGAACTGTGTTTGTAGACATTCCAGTGGATGACGTGACCTGCTCCGTGCTTGCTGTTGCGAATTCAGTTGCAACACTCATTGTTGATGCGTCAGTGGGGGATGTCACTTCCTCTGTAGATATAGTTGCAGAACTGTGGGGTGCAACATCCGTTCCTGCTTTCAAGCTACTAGATGACTGTGAGGAGAGGTCTGTTGGAACTTGAGAAGGAGATGTTGGAGTTGTTTCTGTCGTTGGCGAGCTCCCAAGTGTAGAACTTTCAGTCGATCCTTGTGTAGATTTCGATGTAATCTCTGTACTGGAGGAAGAGGTCGGTGTGCTGGAAGAAGTTTCACTTTTCAGCGAGGACAAGGGTAGGGTGCTTGTAGATTTGTCAGTAGAGGATGTGGCCTGCTCCGTGCTTGCTGTTGAAGATTCCACAGTAGCACTTGTAGTTGATCCCCGTGTGGAATCTGATGTTATCTCTGTACTGGAGGAAGAGGTCGGAATGCTGGAAGAAGTCTCGCTCGTCAGTGAGGACGTAGGAACTGTGTTTGTAGACATTCCAGTGGATGACGTGACCTGCTCCGTGCTTGCTGTTGCGAATTCAGTTGCAACACTCATTGTTGATGCGTCAGTGGGGATGTCACTTCCTCTGTAGATATAGTTGCAGAACTGTGGGTGCAACATCCGTTCCTGCTTTCAAGCTACTAGATGACTGTGAGGAGAGGTCTGTTGGAACTTGAGAAGGAGATGTTGGAGTTGTTTCTGTCGTTGGCGAGCTCCCAAGTGTAGAACTTTCAGTCGATCCTTGTGTCGATGTCCATGTAATCTCTGTACTGGAGGAAGAAGTCGGTGTGCTGGAAGAAGTTTCACTTTTCAGCGAGGACAAGGATAGGGTGCTTGTAGATTTGTCAGTAGAGGATGTGGCCTGCTCCGTGCTTGCTGTTGAAGATTCCACAGTAGCACTTGTAGTTGATCCCCGTGTGGAATCTGATGGTATCTCTGTACTGGAGGAAGAGGTCGGAATGCTGGAAGAAGTCTCGCTCGTCAGTGAGGACGTAGGAACTGTGTTTGTAGACATTCCAGTGGATGACGTGACCTGCTCCGTGCTTGCTGTTGCGAATTCAGTTGCAACACTCATTGTTGATGCGTCAGTGGGGGATGTCACTTCCTCTGTAGATATAGTTGCAGAACTGTAGGGTGCAACATCCGTTCCTGCTTTCAAGCTACTAGATGACTGTGAGGAGAGGTCTGTTGGAACTTGAGAAGGAGATGTTGAAGTTGTTTCTGTCGTTGGCGAGCTCCCAAGTGTAGAACTTTCAGTCGATCCTTGTGTAGATTTCGATGTAATCTCTGTACTGGAGGAAGAGGTCGGTGTGCTGGAAGAAGTTTCACTTTTCAGCGAGGACAAGGGTAGGGTGCTTGTAGATTTGCCAATAAAGAATGTGGCCTGCTCCGTGCTTGCTGTGTGAAGATTCCACAGTAGCACTTGTAGTTGATCCCCGTGTGGAATCTGATGTTATCTCTGTACTGGAGGAAGAGGTCGGAATGCTGGAAGAAGTCTCGCTCGTCAGTGAGGACGTAGGAACTGTGTTTGTAGACATTCCAGTGGATGACGTGACCTGCTCCGTGCTTGCTGTTGCGAATTCAGTTGCAACACTCATTGTTGATGCGTCAGTGGGGATGTCACTTCCTCTGTAGATATAGTTGCAGAACTGTGGGGTGCAACATCCGTTCCTGCTTTCAAGCTACTAGATGACTGTGAGGAGAGGTCTGTTGGAACTTGAGAAGGAGATGTTGGAGTTGTTTCTGTCGTTGGCGAGCTCCCAAGTGTAGAACTTTCAGTCGATCCTTGTGTCGATGTCCATGTAATCTCTGTACTGGAGGAAGAAGTCGGTGTGCTGGAAGAAGTTTCACTTTTCAGCGAGGACAAGGATAGGGTGCTTGTAGATTTGTCAGTAGAGGATGTGGCCTGCTCCGTGCTTGCTGTTGAAGATTCCACAGTAGCACTTGTAGTTGATCCCCGTGTGGAATCTGATGTTATCTCTGTAC